ATCTATTTGGGAAAAAAACGGTGAATCTCATCGTGTATCTAATTTTTATGGGGAATTGTTAAATAGGGAAATTCAATTAAAATGGAATTGCGATGCAGTTTTTTTTTTCATCTCTCATGCACATAAACATAAATTCACTGCATTGAATAGTAGATAAAGTGCACTTAATGTGGGACGATGATACTGCTACTGCTCACAATCACATTATCATCCTTTATATTTGCATTTTTATAATAGATTTACACTGAACCAAAAATAGATGAAGAGCAAAAAAAATGGATAAAAAAAATCGTGTTGAATGCATCTCGAACATTGTCCATCGTCCCAACAATATTGTTGTACCGCTGAACAATTGAGAACGATAAAATAGCGTTGCTTTGTTCGACGACAGCGGAAAATAAAGCACCCGACTTAAGAGTAATCGATCCGACCTTTTACGACACATTCATCCATTCACTCCGCTCATTGTTACCATTCAGTCGCATGGTTGAGATTCGGAATAATGGAAAATCGTGGGAACAATCGAAACGAATTAAGAAATGAAATGCTTCGATGCAACCCGAAAAAAAAACAATTTACAAGCATTTCCCATTTATAATCTCTATTCAGGAGCAACAGCGACAAGTATTATCTCTTCGTTTGCTGTCAGAATGCATTCCATAGAATTCCATGGCGCGGGGATTTTATGGTGTGTTTTTTTTTACCAGGTGGAAAAGTTTTCTCAATAAAAGTAATCATAATTTGACGCTGATACATTGTATACCATCAACCATACCGTTTGAATAATTCCCCAGCACTTTCTACCGTACTCTGTTGTGGCAATTTATCATGATTCTTGTGGAAAATGTTAAAAGTTTAACAAATTGCTGCCAACGAAAAAGAAAACTGCTTATTTCCAAAAGTACTCTAAACTGTTTTTATCACAAATTTTCGTCAAAATTGTCTGAACACACAGCTCTTCTGAATACATTTAGCGTTAAAATGAGCGATTAATCTTCGTCATTGTGTCACACTTAACAGTGTTTGCTTCATTTAATATACAAAGTTTTGCTTTAAGCGACTTACCAACACCAAGTTTAAGTGGAAAGTTCCACTGCTGTTGCACTCAACTCACAATATGCTTTCGAATCAATATGAAAAAAAAATTGTGCAATCACAGCGAAAAAAAATGTGAAAAATAATTCATTACTAGCGACTATTAAACCGCAGTTCAAAGCAATTATGTTGATATACAGCATGCATCCAAAAACCAATCAAAAACTGCATTGTTTGCAATTTTCTCAAATTATTTCTTTAATAAATGGAAAAGTGCAATTAATGTTGATGTCCAGCAACATCATAAATTGAGTGTCATCATTGAACAATATAAAGCCGCAGAAATTTAATTAAAACTCAATTAATTCGATGCAAAACAATCGTCATTGCCCAATGGGCAATGCCCATTCCATAACATCCACAAGCCGCTCAATTTCATAATCAGTTTGCCATTAGTATAAATGCTACGCATCAATTGAATTGCGCAATTATATCGACTAAATTACAATGGTTCAAAAAGACAATATCATATTATTTCCACCGCCAAAATGTTTACAATCAAAACAAAGTCATTTTCATTTGGAAAATAATTCAATTGAAAATGAGTGGGTTTTATGTTACATTTTTGAGGGGGAAAAAACGGGGAATATGAGAAGAACGTAATATTCGTTTGAAATATGAACCCATGATCCGATGTCATCAAATCCCGTTGCTGGTTTATTATCGTTGTGCCAAGTGTTGCAGAGCAGAAATTGTTCGCAAGCCAAACTCTCATTAAGTGCAAGAATAAAAGCTGATGCCAATTGACACAAACTCCAAAAACCGTTCGCCCCAATTTTAAACTCGTTTAATGTGACATTTAAAGATTTTATTTGACATTAAAAAAATTTGCACGATTGTTCTCGAAGTCAAAGCATTGTTGCATCGTCATGTTTTTCCATTTTACAGACAAAAATAAGAGGGAAAAAATGCGCATCAGCTTAGGAATAAATATTTAATGGAATTTCTCATGCCATCTGCATTTTTATTTCGCAGTCATTTTGCTTGGGTGACTTATCTCCAAATTTCCATTTCGCCATATTTATTATTCGGTACAAATCAGTAAACATTATGCCATTGCTTGCTTTACATGTTCCAAAGGAATTGTGTTTGTGAATGTGTGCTGTCGGTGCTCCTTTAGAACGCATTCATATTCAATTGTGTTTTGCGTCGGTTTGAGACAGCCGCATTTTTCCTAAATAGATTATTAAAGCATCGCATTCTCTTGTCGTTGACGTTGACATGTACGTACAGGTTGCAAAGAAGGAAAGAACACTATCTCGACAACACATTTTAAACACATACACACTCGCTCTGGGGGAAATGATGCTTTCACTTCCCGGCTATCGCATGAATATTTCATGGGCGATGAAAATGGATGCGCAAAATGAAAATGAACAACATAATAATGGGAATGGTCAGGAAGCATGCCACATAATCTAAACAACCAAAAATCAGCTCAAAAATCCGCACAGATAAAATTTCCATTGCAAGCCAGCGAACGAGACAGTGAGTGTGTGTATGTGTACGGATTTAATTCGTACATGACCTGCTTTCATCGGGCTCGGATAAACAACCACTCATATTATGCTCGCAGCAAATAAAATACACAACGATAACATAACTGACACACACATAAAAACCCCTCCGAACAATCTGGCTGCCTTGTTAGCAGTTACGACTTCGAGGTTTTTAAAGAAGACAATAACAACGGCTGAAGAGAAGAAAAAAAAATCAAAAATATGATAACTAATAAAAAAATATGACAATGCGTTAACAAACCGCCAAGCGAAAAAAAAAACGTCAAAGCGCACAATGGCAAAAACGGATCACTTAAATAACAACCCACACACATATCTACACACAAAAAAGGAAAAACAACGATTTCATATTCAATAAGACGCTGAAATCTTTGTTGTTTGTTATGTCGTATTACATTTTTTTTTTCGTTCGCTTGCTCATTCATTCGGTGGTTCGTTGGTTGTTTTGGGCGCTCTTTATTATCGCTTCCATTAATATCAAGGAATAATAATCAGTCAAATATTCAAGAGCTGTTAGTGCCTCAGTTCGTCGTCTTTTATGCAACGCAAATTCAATTGGCTATGGTGTGCTACCATGACGGAGCAGAAGCAGCAACATTATTTTATCATTGTTATTTTTCGAATGAATGACTTGACAAATACACTTGAACCAAGCACAGAAAAGAGCCAAAGTGCTTCTTTTCATATTCCATGTCCCGACTTTTTTTTTCATCTGTTGCCAAAAAATATATGTGTATATGTGCTACAAAATGTGACATAGAAAAAGTTCAATGCTTTTTCAAATGAGCTTCGCAACAAATAACAGACCTCTTTCGATGATGGAATACACATTCTTCACCATTTTCATAAGAATCATTCTTTTCGTTTTTTTTCTTCTGCGCGACGAAACCACTCGTTTTTCCCTCCGTTTTCTGCTTTTACAGCATACAACACACGAAGGCAACACATGATTTTCCAATGTGGTACCAACTTTGAATCTCGCAGTGCTTTGCATTAGCAATCGTTACTCTTTTCGGTTTTTATTTTTGATATTTTGGTGCAAAAATATTTGCAAAGTGATTTCGTTGAGTTGTTTTTTTCTCGTGTGCTCTATAAAAATCCTTCCGTATTTGCTTTTTGGTTCATGTTTTCATTTATCTTTCGTAAATATTGATCGATTTGTCATAAAGAACGATTGACAGGGAAAAATTGAATGAGATTTTTCTTTTAAGCCGTCGTTTGACGAATGGAATGTGCCCAAATAGCATATCATATCAGATCAAACATGGAAATGGATTTTAGATACCAAATCAAAGTCGATGATTGCGACGCTTCGATATTGTTTATGTTGAATTTTCCGTAAACTTTTCATACTTTCAGCATGTTACCACTGCTGCTGCTGCTGCTGCTGTTGTTATTTTTTTTCTAACTGTTTCACAACTCACTTTGAGCCTCGACTTCTGACCAAGTTAATTCCAATAAAAGGCAATAAAACAACAAACAACGAATTTTTAGCAGCAAAATGAAAAAGTTTGCCATTCGATTGTTGCGCGTTGACTTGTGCCGTGCGCGTTCCGCGTGCGATGAATTTTAAATTGAATACGTGCCAAAAGTGGAACTACGCGGTTTTCTGGCGATGCATGACGCAACACTGTTGTATGAATCGCGATTTTCCCTCTCCGAAAAAGCACATCTTCATCGGTTGATGAGAGAAAATTTTCTTGTTTCTAATATTGAATGTAGTGCACATTAGCGTCCGCAAGAACTCGAAGTCATTCAGTCTTCTAACGTTTCCGTGTTTCCTTATTACTTGGAGGCTTTTTCAAGGCGCGATCGAGGAAAAAGTCGCGAGTGAACGAGAAACATACAAAGTTTATTGTTTCCATGGGGATTTATTACGGTAGATTAACAACTTTATTGCAATGAGCCACTAATGGGAACCCCAAATATGAAATTCGGAACATGAACATCGTTGAATGACAACGACGAATCAAAACTGAAGAAATATCATATAAAACATTCTGAAAGAGCCAAACCATATTTACAAAATGGACGAAATTCTCCGGTCTTTAATACCCGCGCGCTAAATTGTTGCGCGACGTTTTTGTGAAGTTTTTTGATTGTAAATATGGGAAACTTAAGCATTTATTGGAATCGGAAACGTTTTCATTGCGCTCACTTCTGTCCTTATGACGGGAGGATTAAATCCTCTCTCCCACATACACACACACACACACACACACACAAGCAAGGAAACGAGAAATAAATTGAGTCGATGCACAGTTTTCGCTTCGAATATTACATTTGCCAAAAATGAGTCAAGTTCAAAGCATGAATCAGTCATTATTGATGCTCCGAAACGATTCGGTTCAATCAAAAAATTAATACTTCAATAACTTTCTATAGGAGCGTTCATCGAACTGAAAGGAAAATTTACACACAGACATTCACAAAAATGAATTGACCAAAAGGGAAAAAAAGAACTAAATCGAAAAAAAAAACACAGACCAACGAAAAATGCTATACAAATGAAATGAAACTTGTGAATGAGCTCACACATCATTTGCAGAAAAAAAAGTTGATTAAATAAAACTCTGTTCGTCCGACACCGGACTATATTTGAATATAGTTAAACACGAGAGATTGCAGAAGCCGTGAGCTGTCCGATTTTTAAATGATTGCGGCAAATACATAACATTTGTATAGGAAATTAAAATTCATTTCAACATACAAACCGTACACACATCGAACGTGATTTTTCCGAAGTAATTCAGAAGCAGCACAACTATAAATTTTAAGACGAAATGTCGGTCGAAGAAGCAGAACCACCGCAATACATAGTGACTGCACCGGGTGAAGATAATAATGATGAAGACGATGATAAATCGTCGACGACGACCACCACATCAACCGCAACGGCCAAATCTACGGCCACCGCCGTAAATGTCAAGACAAATAAAACTCATAATACACGCAGCCAAAGTTTACAGTCATCCACAACGGCCATCACGGGTGATCAACAAGCATCGAATACATTGTTGTTGCAACAACAGCTCAAAGCCCAGTCCAGCATGAACATTGTGACGGAGAAACACGTGCAAAAGTTTTCGAGTACTCAAACAACGAGCAGTACGAGTAGTTCGACATCGGCAATTGGCACAAAAAGTAAATTCACCAGCTTTTTACAGCATCCTGATACAACATCGGCCACGTCACACGGTGCACAATTTCTAACCGCACAACAAAAACATGTCCGTCAATTTGTGCGCTCAACATCGGCACATTCGTCAACGGATAGCGCGGCTGGGGGCATTTCCATGTCGTCCAAAGCGGAAAAATGTATTCGCAGCACATCCCAACAAATTGACGATGACAACCATAGTTTTACCACAGATTATTCAAAAGGATTGCAACAGTCGGCTGCCATTCTAATTTCCAAATCCGCCGAAACGATTGAGGGTTTTCGATCGTGCTCAGCAACAACATCGGGCAGTATGCGTACTCAGCTCACATTGAGCGGTGGCTTTTTAGCACCGCCGAACCGTAAACTCACCATTCTCAGTCCGGTGCATGCTCCACCCGGACTGCATGATCTACTCAAAAAGCATCGGTCTCCACTATCGCCACGAATTAGTTTTCCAGGCACCGATACCGAACTATTTCCGTAAGTTTGCATATTTTATCATTCCCCGTCGATGTGTCCTAAAATATCTAGACAGTGTCCATTTAATTTCCATTTTAGCATTAAGATTCGAATGCACGGGCGTGCACACACAAACACAAACACAAATACATCGCTATGATCAATGATCATTTATTTGCAAGTTTTGGTTGAATTTATTTCGGTTCAAGTTTTGAACTTACTCTCAATTTTAATATGCAAAAGTTTTTTTTCTTTCGGAACATGTTTGTGTGCGTGCTTCAGTCCAAACTTGTTCATTACACACTGACCGTCATTAATTTTGCGGTCCGCAAATTGCGGATGGAGTTTTAGTACAAAATTAATGAATATAAATACTCTCTGCCATTTCGTTTTGTTGGCATAGAATATTCGGCAAGCGTGATACGAAGCACGATACAATGTACAGTGTACACTTCCAATTAATTGGAAAATGTAGACAAGACATTCGAACATACACAATACATATATAAGACTTCCGTTTCGCTGAGCGCGCACATGACATGGAAAACCGTAATTGCAATCGATGGCAATACAAATTAAATTGCGTATGCTGCTATTGTTCACTCACACTCCGCCACCAGTATTTGCTTCGCATGACTGCCAAATCTCTCATCACAAATTGAGGCCCCACAAATGAATTAAACATGGTGATTTTTGAAGAGCAGAGTGTTCGACGCGAGTTCGGGAGAGTGAGAGAGAGAGAGAGAGAGAGGGAAAGAAGAAAGAAAATTCAGTTGCCGATTGTTTATTTATTGATCGGCTATTAATAGGCGATTTAATTAATTCAGATGCGGCGCGCACACTGATTACTTCATGCGTCTGTTTCGACTTTCATTGGGCGCGCGCAAACACATTTGATGTGATGCAAACACATCGTTAAACAATATTATATTACAACCAAAATGTTCATTTTGAAAATTTTCGCAGAACCAAACGTTCAAGTCAAATCAGAAATTCAAATCATCTGATAAATATTCAACGTTGATTTGGCGCTGGAAAATTTCAATCTCTTTTTTGTCGACCCTATAAACAGTTTGAATAAATTAACGTAAAAATGGATTTTTTTTCCTATAATCTCAACTTATTTCACAATGCATAACAAATGTGAAAACATCTATAGTTGTAGCCTGAAATTCTGTGGCCTGGAATATCTGTTTATTTCTTCCACTTTTCTCTTTTTTTCTACTGAACCAAAATACGTCTATTTTTACCATCTTGCCTTGTGGTCCTATGAATCTACGCAATTCCATCGACAAACGTCGAAAAGGTTAATCGAGTAGAATACATGTCCAGAACAGAATTGGCATTTAGCTACAGGTTCGAAAATAGCTTCCAATTTGATTATTATCTGTCTTCCAATTTTATTTTATTTTTGCCTCTCCCACTTTGATTTTGTCATTGTGTTCCGAATCATGGAAGAGAGGCACATTTATCAAACTCTGTACGCAATTCTAATCAAACCATTCTGTCGTAGATTAAAATATTTGCCGAAAAAATCGGCATTCGACATTCTTGGGGGAGAGAAAATTGAAAGCGATGGCATTTGGGAATTCGAATACAATCGGAAATCCAATTGAACGCAAAATAAAAGCCACCCATTTTTCGGAAGTTGTTCGATTTATTTCCCTCTTTTTCTTGGGGAATAGCACGTAGCATCAGGTACACATGGATTTTTTGTGTTACAGGCATAAGCATCCAAGAACCAGCCGCATTAGCATTGTGGAGCCGTTCTTTTCTTGAGATTGGCAAAGACAACGGTGAACGTTGACGTTGTCATAGTCACACACCGAGCACATAAAATTGAATTTAATTAGGGTCAAGTTCCTACATGTCATTCGACGTTGTTTCCTTTTGTTGTTTTCTTTCGACAGCACCGTAACACCGTAAGGGGAAGAATGAAAACAACAACTTGTCCGTAGAATTACATCGTGAAGCGAGCTACATTTCAAGAAGCAAATGGATTAAAATTGACTTATTTAAATTTTTTGGATGGTCCTTTTCCCATCGCGCAATGAATGTTACTCACAAAATCAATAAAGTTGTGAGAGTGAGTCATAAATCTTCAACGCTACTGGATACATGCAAGTGCTGATTGTAAGCCACAGCTGGCTCAATAAAGGAATGTCCGAGCTGAAGCGAGACAACAAAGCAAATCCATAAAACTTGCAGTCAAGTGTCCACAAGGGAAAAACCCATAAAAAGAACATGTGAAAGAAAGAAAAACATAAAAAAAATCTTATTTTGAAATATATCAACAGTAAAGTTCAAATGTCACACTCAAAGTAGAAAGGAAACACCGAATGTTGTGAGCTCTCAACGAATGATGTTTCAACATTTCGCGTTGAATATTTCGTGCAGCTTCAGCTGCTTCAGCTGCTGGTGTGTAAATGCAATGAATCAAAGTCAAACGCTTAATCATAATGTCCATCGATCCTAATTCGGTTTGATTTTTGCATTAGCCTGAAATGTAATGGCATCTGCTTTGATTGAAATTCCAAGGCTAAAAGGAAAAAAAATAAAATAAATTCAAAACACTCTTATCGCACCAGGGAACATCTTATCGATAAATTAGGGAGCAGCACATTCTGATGTGAAAGTCATGCTTTTTTTGTTTGACAATAATAAATTTGTTTTCGGTTCACTAGCAATGACCTCACATCTGATAACTCGCAGCACTATTCGCTTGTGAGCGTGTTTGTGTGCGGTGGTTTTTATGTTTTGTTTTAAGAGAAAATCGAAGACTCAGTCTGACCCATTCAAACTGTGCAAAGTGCGATGCATATCTCAAAATGGCACATGTCAAAACAAACATCAAGATTTGGAAAATGTGTGGAACATAATTTATTTAAATCACGCCCATTCGAAGGTGCGCGCATTCAGCACTTGTCTCACAGTATCGAAGCAAAAACCGAAAAAGTCACGCGGCAAACATTGGATTTTCATCCTTTTTTTTCTATCTCTTTTCAGTTTTATTTTCCACTGTTGGATAGGTTGTGTTGAGCGAAAACTAGTTAACATTTGCTCGTTTACAAATCTCGATTACCTCGGGCATTCTCTTTGCCTCTCTCTCCCTCTCGTTCTTTCTCGTCAACAACGCAGAAAAACTAATTTGAAAAATGCAAAGTTTTTGCAAGTTTAATTGCTCAGCCAGGTGTTAAGACGATTGTCCGATAATCGCTAGTGTTCACAACAGCTTTTTCTCGTTTCAAAACGATTTTGCCACGGATTTTCTTTCCCACTTTCGACGCGGAGAGAGAGAACCAGCTGAACTTTCATCTTCAGACCATTTCGTGTGTTTTCGTTTGCATGCACAACAATAATATGCCATTGATTTACTTATCGTTAAAATTTCGATCCACAATATCGGCACTCATGGATCTGGCAAACCAAATACCGGCACCGATCCCAAATGGAAACTCGAGTAGCACCCACCCACACACTCACCGCGGGCACTCTTTCATTACCATTTTTTTTTTCCATTTGAACGAAAGAAAAAAACTTCATTTTTGTTCATTATTGTTTTTCCGTTCATATCGTTTTTTTTTTTTGGTTTGTGCTGATTTTTTCCCGTTGATTGGCCAAACGCCAAATGTCAAAAGGTTAATGACGACCAGCGATTGCGTGCATTTTTTATCAACCCGTTCTCCATTTATTACACCATTTGCACAATTACTTCTATTTGGAGCCTTAAATCAAATTGCGGTTAAATTATTGGCTCAACTTCGTAACCTTTTGCTTTTTAATGACGCCCAATACACTCTTTTTCCCGTGCTCGAAATACACTCGTTCTCCTATTATCCTTATGCTATTTCCACAGACCGATCGATTTTGTAATTCTAGACTCAGAATGCGGCACAGTTGTTACAAACAAAGTATCTTTCAGTGGGATAGCTGAAGTTTGTTTGTGATATACTAGTAAAATGAGGTAGCCATGGATGAAATTTAACCAGTTTTTCATTTGCCTTAAGCAGCCATTCTCTCTATCTCGAAAGTTTATTACGTGGATGTTTTTTTGTTCTAGTATATATATGAGAGCTAGAGCACTGCTATTTGCGTCAAATATCTGAAAAAATGAAGGCTTCTTTTATCTTTTTGATGGTATTTTCACCCAACTATCTGCAAATGGCACCAAAATCCCTTAAGCTCATTTCATCGAACACATGAAATAGGTCAAAAAATCAAGCGGCCAAAAGTTGTCAGGTGTCAAGGTTAAAGGGGAACCGTTGTCGTCGCTGATGATGTATTTTTGAGCTTTAATCCACATGGCAAATATTTTGGGTCGAACTCGGCGGGAAGAATGAGCAAAAACGAAGACGAAGATGAAGAAGAGGATTATTAAAAAAATGACGACGGAGCAACATGTGGGGAAATGACGAACAGGTGCACAAGAGCGACATGTTCTTGTAAAGCCCCGGAAAAATAGTCAACTTTGTTGTTGTATCCACGGCAACCTTTTTCCAACCAAATTCAAATCTTCGAAAGTAATTATCTTTTTTTTTGAAGCGGCTTTCTCTAAATTCGACGCGGAAATGAAGTCGTGTTCTGAATGAGAATTATTCTCTTTGCAAAATATTTTGGCTTTCGGATGACGGGCGATTTCTTTCTCTTCACTCGAGATTAACATAAAAAAGTTTATGTCTTCGTTTACTGTTGTTATCACGTGACAAATCGCAGAAGTAAAAAAAAGGTATAAAATATCTCGAAAGAGAAGGCCGTCGCAAAAATTTGGTTAAAAGCTGAACGAGAGTAAAAGGTTCGTTATCCTTTTTCACTTACGTACATGAATAAAGCAATGTGAAATGGTTTATTTTGCCTTCCAAATCGAGTGCTTTGCATAATTAATGTATTTCCGGGCTGTTTCATTGTGAGCCAACGAATCTGTTCCTCTGTCCCACTGCTCTGTTTGTTTACGCGAGCATCGCTCGCTTTTGTGAAATTTTAAACAAGACACCGGCAAATGTAGCACATCATCATCGCTTTCA